CGTGGGGGGAGTACAGCCCAATACGCATGTCATTGGAAAGGCTGTGGAGTGGCAGCCACGCCCTGCAGGGATGCGTGTAAAGCCTTAGCACACGCAGGGATAATGGGACAGCTGTCCAGGACGGACTCGGGGAGCGCGGGGCGGGGAGCACCTTCCCCCATAGACCGCAGGCTGGGCGCGGGTCTGAGCCTGGCTGTGTCCACGGGGCAGGCTCTCAGTAAGAGCTCAGCACAGGGGAGGGCACCGGGCGGCGTGCCACGCCCTGCAGGGATGCGTGTAAAGCCTTAGCACACGCAGGGATAATGGGACAGCTGTCCAGGACGGACTCGGGGAGCGCGGGGCGGGGAGCACCTTCCCCCATAGACCGCAGGCTGGGCGCGGGTCTGAGCCTGGCTGTGTCCACGGGGCAGGCTCTCAGTAAGAGCTCAGCACAGGGGAGGGCACCGGGCGGCGTGGCGCGTGCTGGGCTCATCGCTCGCCTGTCCCCCTCCAGGAAAGGCGGTGTGGGGAGAGAGCGGTGAGCTGGTGTGCACCAAGCCGCTGCCCTGCCAGCCCACGCACTTCTGGAACGATGAGAACGGCAGCAAGTACCGCAAGGCCTACTTCTCCAAGTTCCCAGGTGGGCCCCGAGAGGTGCAGGGGAGCTGCCGCAGCCCGCCAGAGCCTCACCTGGACGTGCCCCCCCCTTCTCCCCACTGGAGCATCCCGCCAGGGGGCAAGGTGCACTCCAGTCACTGCCTTGTCACCTTCTGCTTGAGGCCGTCGCGGGAGCCTGTCCTCTGGGTTTAGTTGAACCTCAGTCCTCCGTGGGAGCCCCGCGTCCCCAAACCCTCACCTCCGGCTGCCCGTGTGGGGGCGGAGGCCCCACTGCTGGGATCTGCGTGGGCAGTGCCACCTGCTGGGCGCTCCTCCTGTGCTTGCCTCTAGCCCGTTACTGTCCTCAGTCCTCAGCCTCAGGGAGGCACTGGGGGGAGGTGCTGGCAGGTGGAGCCAGGCACAGCCAGAGCAGGAAGCCTTTAATTTAAAGCCCCAGCCGGCGTGCTCATAGTTCTCCTGCGAGCACCCATGCCTGGATTGGCACCCTCGTCCCACCACTCAGGGCTGGTCGCGCTGGGACTGGTGCGGTAGCCCCCCGGCTGGTCGTGCTGCTTGTTTGTCCCACCCCAGGTCTGGCCCCAGCCCGAGTACCCTCTGCCTTCCTAGTGTGAGGCCTGTCCTGCCCTGAGCAGAGCATGGGTCTGTCTGAGGCTGGGCTCACCCTCTTGGTGGCGTGTCTCGCAGGGTGGCGTGTCTCCCATGCTGGCCCGTGTCAGCATCCCCACAGGGGGCGTGCTCCTTGGGGGCAACCTCTTGGGTTCCCGCTGACCCCGCTGAGCCCCCCACCCTGTCCCCACCTGTCTCTGGGCCTTGGTGACGTGTGTGGACCAGTGTCCATTGCTTTGTGCCTGCCTGTCGTGACCCCTTGGGGTGACCGGGCACTTCTGCTTCTGCACAGGCGTCTGGGCCCACGGCGACTACTGCAAGATCAACCCCAAGACCGGAGGCATCATTATGCTGGGCCGGAGGTGAGGGGCCGGCCAGTGGGCCCTGCCCGGCCTGGGCTGTCCCCACCTCAGTCCACACTCAACCCCACCCGGCCTGGGCTGTCCCGAC